ACATTCTGAAAGCTTGTATTCTCCTGTCTCTGTTCTTCAATCTCAAGTGTTGTTTTCTCTTTTCACAAAGAGAAAAACCTTTGCAAGAATCAGCATTGACGCTAGAGACAGGCTGAAATGAGTATCAACTCCAGGGTTTTCAGAGTCAGATTTACAAACCCATAACAAAAGCAGGTACTCATGCAAGTGTGTGTGTATGTGTGTGTGTGTGTGTATGCGAGTGAGTATATGTACATGTGTATATGTGTGTGCATGCGAGTGAGTATATGTGTGTATATGAGTGAGTGGGGGTGCTGAACTTTGACATTGGGTGACTTTCTGATTGCTGTTTAATTATTTAAGTCAGGGGCTCTCCCTAGACCTGGAGGTCACTCATTTAGGCTAGGCTGGCTGGCCTGTGAGCCCCCTCCCTAGAGCTCCACCTGTCTCGTCTATACCTGCCACACACGCCGAGATTACAGGTGCAAACCAGCTTCCTCAGTGGGTCCTGAGAATATGGATTTAGGTCCTCCTGCTCGTTTGGCAGGCATTTTGCTGACTGAGCCACCTCCCCACCCCTAGGTACTCTTTGTTTTAATTAGATTAAACTAATTGTGAAGGTAATAGTCTTCATTGTGTTTTCAGAAACATATATGCAATGCACCTTGTTGATATTCCTCTCATTACTTTTCCTGCCCCCTCCCTCTTCCCACTGGTCCCTTCCTCTTCCCAAGCAGTCCCTGTCCTCCTTTAATGTCCTGTTGGAAAATCTAGGCTTTGTGTAGGTGAAAAAACATGTGGTGTTCATCTTTCTGTCTCTAGCTTATTGTAGTTATAATGATTTCCAGTTCTATTCTCTTCCTTGAAAACATCATGGTTTTATTCTTTGTAGCTCAACAAAAAGTCATTCCATATCTATAACACATTCTTTTCATCTCTGCATCTATTGGGGAGTGGCTGATTCTGTGATTTGGTTATTGTGAATACTGCAAAAATAAATGCTTGGTGGAGGCGTCGCGACTGTATACTGACTTAAATTCTTTCAGATATATACTCAGGAGTGGGTCATATGGTAATTCTGATTTTAGGTTTGAGAAGCCTCCATATTGATTTTTGTGAAGACTAGACTGACTTAGATTTCCACCAGAGGTGCACAGCATCCTCACGGTCCTTGCCACTGTTTGTCTTCTGATGTTTAACTAGGGAGAGATGGCGTCTTTGATGTCATTGGTTTTTGTTGTTATCATCGTCATTTGTTTTATTGAAATGGTCTCACTGTATAGCCCAGGCTGGCTTGGAACTCACTGTGTAACTTTGAACTACCTCGAACTGCCATCCTCCTGCCTCAGCCTCTCAGAGGGTGGGATATCTGGACCTCAGTACAGTTTTGATTTGTATTTTCTTGATAGCTAAGGATGTTAAATGTGTTTTTTTGTGTATTTACTGGCCATTTGCACTTCTTCTGAGAACTATCTCTCCAGCAATTTGCCTGTTTATTGGTGTGATTGCTTTCTCCTTTGGTGTTTAATTTTTTTAGATCATTGTATATTCTGGGCATTAATCCCCTGTGAGATGAATAACTGACAGAGTTTTTTTCTGTTCTGCAGGCTGTACCTTCACCCAGGCCATTGTTTTCTTGCTGAGCAAAAGACTTCATTTCATGCAATTTTACTTACCTATTCTTGTTGTTTCCTGAGCTATTTAGAAAGCTGTTGCCTATGATTATATCTTGATGGGCTCCCTTTATGTTTTCCTCTGGTAGGTTCAAATTTTCAGATCGTACACGAAAGCTTTTGATCCATTCTGTAATTTTTTTCCATAGGGCGTGGTGGTTCAAATGAACAATCTCCCCCCAGAGGCCCAGGTGCTTGAATATTTTCTTCCCAGGAGCTGAGTCTGTTTGGAGGTTTGGGGGTGTGGTCTTGCTGGAGGAAGTCTTCCCTGGGGGTGGGCTTTGGGAGTCCATAGCCTCAGCTTATTCCCAGTTTGCTCTCTCTGCTTTTCCTTTGCTGCTGAACACATCTCAGCTTCCTGCTCTTGTCACTGCGCCTGCCACATGCCCCCACCGTGATGGAGTCCTGTCCCTCTGGAAATGTAATCCAAAATAAGCTTTCTTCCAGAGCTCACTTTCTTCACGGTGTCTCATTTAAGTAACAAAAAGTAACTCGTACACAGGGTGAGAAAATGCACTAATGTAGTCTTCTTCAAATAGATATCTAGTTCTTCACGCATCATTTGCTGTTTTGCCAACACATGTTTTTGGCCTTCTGGTTCAGTATCAGATGGCTGTAGGTGCAGGTTTATCTCTGGGTCCTTTGTTCTATTCCACTGGTATATGCACATTGGTGCCACTACCCTGCTGTCCTCTGATGTGGGAAGTCCTTCTGTATATGTGATGCTTTTATTGGTTAATGAATAAAGCTGTTTTGGCCAGTGGCTTAGCAGAGCAAAGCCAGGTGGGAAATCTGAACAGAGATATAGAGAGAAAGTAGGCAGAGTCAAAGAGATGCCATCTAGCTATTGAAGGAGACAAACACCACTGGCTTTTCTGTAAGCCACAGCCTCGTGGCAATACACAGATTAATAGAAATGGGTTAATTCAAGATATAAGAGCTAGCTAGAAATATTCCTGAGTCATTGGCTGAATAGTGTTGTATTTAATACAGTTTCTGTGTGATTTTTTTGGGTCTGAGCGGTTGGAAATAAATGAGTAGTGTCTGTGTATGGTCTTCCATTACTTTGACTTCATAGTATGGTTTGCAATCAGGTACCATGGGTTCTTCCAGCATCCCTCTTTCTGCTCAGCATTGCAGTGGTTATTTAGTGGGTTTTGTGCTTTTGCATGAATTCTCAAATTCTTCCCCCTATGTCTGTGAAGAATGCCGTTGGAATTCTGATGGGAAGTGCATCAGATCTATAGATTGCTGCAAGAATGTTAATTCTTTTTGTCCATGAGCATAGGTGGCCTTGTCACCTTTTAGAATCTTTCTCAGTTACTTCCTTTAGTGTTTTATAGGAAGTCTTTCTACTCTATGATTCGGTTTATTCTTAGGTGTTTTTTTTTTGTTTATATACATTGTGAGGTTGTTGTGCATTTTATTGGGCTTCTCATTTTGTTCTTAGAATGTTCAGTGTTCATGCACAGAAAGCTGCTGATCTTTATTTGTTGATTTTGTATCGTGATTCTTGACTGAAAGCGCTGATCAGATTTAAGAGTTTTCTGGTAGAGACTTTAGGGTTCTGTCTTCTGCAAGTAATGATAGTCAAAGCACGGACTCTTCATAAATGGATGGAAAATTTTTTAACTGTAAGATCACTGTGCTGTTGCCCCTAGATGAGAGGACCCACTTAGACCCTGACATTAACATTCTTAATTTGTCTTCCAAAAGACAGTTAAGGAGCAACAGCACAAACCACTTAGGTTGCTAAGAACATCGAGGACAAATTGATTATTAAAGATGGCTGGAGACAAGCAGCGTGTTTGCAGAGGACAAACACAGCAGTAATGGCTGCAGGAGCGCTTTAGAAGGGATTGAGAGCCTCTAACGTCAGGGAGAAGAGACTCCTGGCCCTGAGCTACCTTGAAATACAGCGTCATGGTCTGGGGCTCTCAGTCAAGAGTGGCATTCCCTATTTGGGCTTGGAAAAGGTACTCTTGGGGTCAAGCTGTGGAGCCAGCATGGCAGCCCCATGTGCTGTTCATGGATGAGCTTTAGCAGTGATCTAGGATCCACAAGTCATTCTAACATCTACATAAAACTGTGGGAAGAAAGCGCTCCTGGCGCTATTGCTGCCTCATCTCTCCTGGCGTATGCAAGCCTTTGTTCAGTGACAGCTCTGATGATGTTCCCTGGGTGAAAGTCTGCCCCTGAAGCCCTCAGGGCCCCTGACAGCTCACGCTCTGAACTCAGGATAGTCTGTCATTTTAGGTACATATGAAAAAATTAGACAAGGCTAAACTTGGTAGCTCTTTCATCTCTTAGAACTATATGAGCAGAGATGGTGCACATGAACTTGGTCCCCTTCATCTGTATAATATGTCCAGTGTGGAGTGCTGGTCCTCACCTTCCCATCCGGCAGCCTTCTCATGGACAGTAAATGAATGCCCGTAACTGCAAAAATGCCTGGATCTTCAGAGTCTCACTGGAGACGTGAATGGGGTGCTAGATTAGGACCTGAGGAATACTTCTTTTCTTTTATACTTTAATTGATTCATTTATTAATTTTTGAGACAGGGTCTCTTGTAGCCCAGGCAGGCCTCAAACTTATTATGGAGCCAAGGATGATCTTCAGCCTGTGATTTAGCTGCGTCCACCTCGCAGGTGTTGGGTTTGCAGATGTGTGCCGCCGCTCCTGGCTTGTTCAGTGCTAGCGATCTAACCCGAGCTGGGCAGCTCTCTACCGAGGGAGCTTCAGCTTCAGCCCTTTCGCTGCCCTTTGAAAATTGCAGGTTGATTATATTGATAAACATGATGCCTGGAATTTTTTTTTTTCGAGACAGGGTTTCTTTGTGTAACTCTGGCTATCCTGGAACTCACTCTGTAGACCAGACTGGCCTTGAAATCAGAGATCCGCCTCGGCTTTTCAAGTGCTGGGATTAAAGGTGTGTGTCACTACCACCCGGCTGATGCCTGGACTTTATAAGCATTTAAGTAATACAGAAGATCCAGAGAGGAAGGCCCAAATCAAAAAATTTCCCACATCTCATGTCGCAGAAATAACAAATGTAACTGTTCTTTATTTTTTTTTTTAAAAAAAATCAATTTTGGATATCTGCCTCTGCATATTTACATGAAATTTTAAAATAAGAATAAAAATTGATTTTAATTTAAGTGAAGGTCAGTTAAATGATTTACTGGCCTTTATAGACCTATTCACTCATGCAAATGATGGACAGATGGTGATAGGTAGACAGACAGACAGACAAACAGATAGAGACAGATACATGCATACAGACAAACAGACAGATGGATGCGTGAACTTTATTGGTGTTTGTGTTTGGTTTTTGGATTTTTATAACCATGTATCATACTTTTCTCCCTTTGGCAGACTAAACGGCTTCCTGTGTCTCTTTTGGTCCATACACATATCAGTAAGTGGATAAGTAAACAGAGAAAAGGGAGAAAGGATTACAGACACATTCCAGATGGTGCACTAGGAGGGGCCACAGTTAATGCGCCATTGCTCAGCCTTGGTGATGTCCCCACATTAAATAATATTGTGTGTTAGCTATGACCAGTGATCCAGGGCTCACAGAGGGAACTCTGGAAGAATTTGTTAAGGTGATTTTCATGTCCCCTCTGTCTTTCCATGCGTTAGGATGGTTGGCTGGGCCCTGCTTTGTGCAGGACTCTGTGATGTATGGGGAGGCCACTGAAACCCAGGTTCTGTGTCCATGTAACTGAAGTAAGCCTTTGATGTCCGGCCTTGTCTTGGGGGTATTTGCTGACACTTTGGTTTTCTCTGTAGTGAATCCCCGTGAACATCACCACCAACTCCAGATCCCCCTCTTCATTCCCAAGGCCGTGTGATGCCTTCATTCTTCATGTTCTTGGGAAGGTCTCAGTCTCTCCTTCCTGATGCCCTGGTTGAACATCGCCCACCTCTTGGCTGTGGTCCCAACATAGGTATTCAAGGGGAAGTGCATGTTCCTTGTCTTAATAATTTCCAAAAGTTGGCACAGTTTCGACCTCCTTAATCTGAAACCCACACAGAAATGCTCTTAAGTCAATAACAACAACAACAAACCCCAAACTTCTGAATGTTACATGTTATCATAAGTGGAAAATGCCACACATGACTGTGTCCTCCCCACAGGGGTACACCCGTCACCCCAGCACCCAGGAGCGTGAGCGAGGAAGCTTGACAGCTGAAGCCCGACATATGGTACAGAAAGCTAACTAAAAGCTGTGTTAACAGGCATGTAGGAAGCAAATGGATTTGATGTGTAGACTTTTATTCCCATCCCCACCCTCATCTCATTATGTGCATGCAATTATTAAAAAATCCAGAAAGATGCAAAATCCAGATTGTTTTCTGATCTTTATAATATTCTGTAAAGTGTATCCAATCTGTAGGAGGAAAAAAATGCCCAATTTTGCATTTGTGTAGAAGAGAAATTTTCATTGTATAATCAAATGCACTTTCTGAGAGGAATGAAAAACATTTAATTTCGTTTCTTAATTATAGACTCCCAGCTCTGAATGGGATATTAAAATGTAATCCAACAGGTGTCGATGAGAAAGATCCCCTACTGGAACAGTTTAAGCAGCCAAATTAATAATGTAGTATTGGATTATAACCTAAAATATAAACACCCATGTGCCCAGATCAATGTAAGTAACTGATCGAATAATAAAATTCTAAACAAAAGGGAAGAGATAAACGTGTGAAGCATGTGGACACTCGTTCCTTAAAGAGCAAGAAGGTCCCTCTCTCCCCGAGCATGGGCTGTGCCTAGTAGCTCACAACTCAGGGAGTTGAGTTTGGGAATGTGGGGTCAATTGTCAACCTTTGCTAGGTGATCAAGGTCAACTTATTAGATCAGCCATATTGACAACATGTATACTAATATGATAACAGGGACACTTGATATCTCTGTAGTCTTCTGTCCTCAAGTTCCCAAGCCCCACCTTATGATTTAAAAAGAAAGGAAGGAAGGAAGGAAGGAAGGAAGGAAGGAAGGAAGGAAGGAAGGAAGGAACAAAGGAAGGGATGAAGGCAGGCAGGCAGGCCCAAATCAAAAGGCATCCTATAAAATACCTGACCAGATCTCATCCCAGTTGTCAACGTTGGGGCCAGAGGGATGGATGCCTCAGTGGTTAAGGGCACTAACTGCTCTTCCTGAGGACCCGGGTTCAGTTCCCTGCACCCACATGATGGTTTACAATTGTCTGTAGCTCTAGTTCCAGGGCATCTAGTGCCCTCTTCTTCATACATGTACTGTATGCATATGGTACCTAGACACATTTCCAGGCAAAATCATTCAGATATAAAATTTGAAAATAAAACAATTAGCTTTTTTAAAAATGCCAAACTTGAGTCTGGAGAAATGGCTCAGTGGCTAGGAGTACATACTGCTGTTGACGAAGGCTGGAGTTTGGGTCCTAGCTCTCGTGTCCAGTGGTTTGCAAAGACTTGTAACTCCAATTCTAGGGGATCTAGTGCCCTCTGCTGGCCTCCATGATTACTTGCACTCACGTACACATACCCACACAGTCAAGCACATATACACAATAAGTTTTTAAAAAGTTCCAAAGTCATCAAAAGTAAAAGAATTCTGAGAATATATGACAGCCCAAAGGAACTCAGGGAGCTGTTATGATTTTCTATGGTGTGGAGTCCTGGATGGGATCTTGGGCCAGAACCCATTGTAAATCAAGTGAATCAATGAGATCCACTGAGGTGTGATGTTTGTCCACAGTGACTCATCAAGGTTGGTTCTACAGCTGTGACACATTCACCATAGCAAATGAAACCGCTAACCAAAGTGGAAGGAACCTGGGCGAGCAGACTGAGATCTCTGTACTGTCTCTGTACCTCTTTTGTAGATGTAAAACTATTTTGGGGCTGGTGAGATGGCTCCTCAGGTAAAGGTGCCTGCTGCCAAGCCTGACAGTCTGAGTTCAATCCCCGAGTCACACGCAGCGGAGGGAGGGAACTGACTCCTGAAAGCTGCCCTCTGACCTCTGCAGGTATACCCATGTGCTTGCACATGCACACATGGAAATAAAGACAGACAGAAAAGCTTTCTACGCAGTTTACTGAAAGCTGAATTTAAGTATCGGGTTACTCTCTAAGTATTTGAGAGTGTCACTGTGAAGGTAAGCCATCAAACGGTTTGGTTTTTCAAGATTTATTTATTTTTATGATATGTGTGTGTTGAAGTGTATGTATGTGTACCACATTCACGCTGGTGCCCATCCAGGTCAGAAGAGGGTGTCGGGTCCCTCAGAGTCAGAGTTTGTAACTTATTTTCTTGTTCTCTGTTTTTGATAACTGAATATTTCACAGGATTTGTCATTTCATAAGGGATAGTAAATGCAGCCCAGGGACCAAGAAGCATTTGTAATAAACACTCAGGACCAGTGAAGCAGAAGAAAGTGAGATGAGAGAGCTGGGACTCAATTGTCATCCCAGCCCTTGGGATGCAGGCAGGGTTGCCACCAGTTCAAGGTCAGGCTAGGGTACAAAGTGAGTTCATATCACCCCTCTTCCAAAATGAAAGCAAACATACAGGAAAAGACAGAAGTTGTCATTTGGGTGACACCTGTTCTCCACGCTGGCCATGATGGCTGTGAGCACTGTCTGTCCCTCTAATAGCACTGGCATTCTCAGGCTCTCTGAACCTGGCCTGCTTCTGCAACAGTGTGGAGGCCCCAGACACCTTCTCTATCCTTACAGTTTCCAGATTGAGGGTTTCTGGTGGATGAGATGCTTCAGGCCTGAGCATCACCCCAGGGCCTGGAGCCTAGAGGTGAGGCTTCCAGTTTGGTCTCATGTACCTCTCTGTCTCCGTGTATCATCAGAAAGGCCCATGCTAAGTCCCGAGGACCCAAGGAAGGGACAGCGACTTTTGTTCTTTTCTGGGTGTTGAGAGTGATAACAAAGAAGGCAGCAGGTAGAGATTTAGAAAATGAAAACTAAAGTCTATGCAAGTACATCATGTCTGCACCGTGTGCTCTGATCCATCCATTCCTTTCTTCAAGACTCATGTTCGTTCTGGTTTCATTTTGTGTGTGTGTGTGTGTGTGTGTGTGTGTGTGTGTGCGTGCACACAAGGGGGACCCGTAGTATCAACTACAACCAGTGTGAGTGTGTAGAGTATGCTGACTTTATTGCTGTCTTTAAGCCACATCTTCCAGTCTCCTTGTTTGCATGCTGCCTAGTGTACAGCATCTTTTTTTTGTCACCCACCCACACACTAGGGGGTAGAGAATCAGGGCCTCAGCTCTGGAACATTCTCTGCAGTTTTCTCACAACACATTATCTATTTGTTGTGCATTACCATCCTCCTGGTCCTCCTGCCCACATACTAAAGATCAAACCTCACACATGTCAGGCAAATACTCGACCCCCGAGCTGCAACCCTGGTCCTTTCTCATTTTTATTTTGAGACATGGTCTTGTCAGGTTGCCCCCATTGGCCTTGGACTTTCTCTGTAGCTCTGTGATCCTCCTGCCTCAGCCTCACAAGTAGATCCAATCACAGGGCTGCATCCCCAGGAGTGTCAGTTACTACTTAGGGTACCAAGACATTCTCCTGGAGTGGAACTAGCCAGCGCTGAATGAGACCCTTACTGGAACTCACCCGTAGACTTGCTAGGCACGAGGCTGCTTCCAGACAGGCAGGGTCAGAATCGCACCAAATCAGGGAATGCCTAGCTGGTGACCCCTGATTGCTTGCTGGTGGGGAGAGATCCCCACACATTGGTAGTCGGGGGCACAGAGGCATTCTGTGTCTACTGCTGTGTGAGAACAGGGAAAAGGCAATACAGTCGGAGAGTGTGTGGAGATGCTGGCATTTTATAGGAGACAATAAAGTGCTCACTGAGAAGATAGGTTTTAAGGCCCGAGTTAGAAGCCTGGGGGTGTCTTAAGAAAGGCTCAGTCCAAAGAAAGGGACTTAGACCAAGAGGAAAGAGCAGGCAGCAGGGCCCAGAGGTCAAGACAAGTTCCTCTGGGCTGGGAACCGTGTTATCTGAAATTCATGAAGAATAGATCTTGCTGAATGAGCCATCTTTTGTTGTTGTTGTTTATTTGTTTGTTTGTTTTTCGAGACAGGGCTTCTCTGTGTAGCTTTGGTGCCTGGCCTGGAACTAGCTCTTGTAGACCATACTGGCCTTGAACTCACACAGATCTGCCTGCCTCTGCCTCTGCCTCCCCCAGTGCTGGGATTAAAGGTGTGTGTTATCACTGCCCGCAGGGTCATCTTTTCTTGTTTGTTTGTTTGTTTGTTTGTTTGTTTTTCACCTGAAACTCCCAAGGAAAGTGGACTGCCCAGATACCCTTTCTGAGAAAGTGAGAGGCGATGGGGCAGTTGTGACCATCAGAGCCTGCCAGGAACAGCCTTCATACTGATGACCTCAGGCACAATTTAAAAAAAAAAAGTGTATCTGTGCTGGTGCAAGTATGTGTGGAGGTCAGAGGTTGAGCTTGGTTGTCATTACTCAAGCATCACCCACTTTGATTTTTGAGTCAGGGTCTCTCACTGACCTAGAACTTGCAGGTTCAGCTATCTAGGCTACCTGGCTAGTGAGCCCAGGGTCTGTCTGCCTCTGACCCCTAGTGCTGGGATTGCAGATATATTGCATCATGCCCAGCTCTTTAAAAAATGCGCACGCTGAGGCCAGAACTCAATCACTTGTGTGTTCAAGGTAAGCACTTTACCAAATAAACCATTCCTACTGGTGCCATTTTGAAAATGAAGACCCATCCAGTCCCACCCCTTGCCCCAGGTGTAAAAGATGGAGGCAACTATGAAGTCGACATAAAGCACACTCATCCGGCTGTCATGAGACTATGGGTGACATTCAGCCAGCTCACAATGGGAGCTTCAGAGTCGGGCAGCTGGAGCAGCCCCTTTCCCAAGGTAATGAGCTGTGATTTCTCTTATCCAGCTTCAAGATTTTCTCCCACTTTGATTACCTTTCAGGAATAATTGGGGGGGGAAATAATTGGTGGGTTTCATTTGAGCATCCCAGGCTGATGGTGGAGGACAGGCTTGGTCCTCCTGTTCCCTCTTTTGCCTATTTTACTGTGACACCAACCAGTGTGACAGTAATTGTATCTGATGGTCTAATTGCCCACCCTTCAAAGGAGTCAGGAAAATGGGCCATATTACACAGCCACCAATAATTTCGCCTTGTGAATTACTGTTCAAAGACCCAGTGTGACGGGTGTTCATGAAGCAAATGCGAGAGAGAGGAAATTAGACTGGAGAGACATGGACAATTGATCACAAAGCCTTCTCTTGCACTTTCTCCCCAGAGCACACTCCTTAACACATGGCATGGTTTCTCAGTTTAACGTAGGTTTACTGTGATCCAAAGAAAATGGTGTTGATTAATGGCAACAGATAGCTATGCTAGCTAGCCTTTGGTCAGGCGGTGTCTGATTTGGTTTTACCTAACCCAAGTGTAGCACCATGCATTCTCCGCTTGGCCTCCTTCAGCTAAGGACCTGGGTTTAGAGAGCTTGCTAGGGAACTGGGCCTTTCTTTCTGCCTGTGACACAGGGAAACTGCAAAGGTTCCCAGGGGCACTAAGTTTTTGTGATATGTCTGCTTGCTAGCACCATGTTGGAATGAGCAGAATCTGCATTTAAAATTTAATAACATGCTTCCTTGGTGCTGTAGATCAGATCTGAAATATCCTCTGCAGGCTTATGTTTTGAAACTCCTGGTCCTTGGCTTATGGGGCTATTTTTAAAAAAATAAAAAATAATTTATGTATTTTTATTTTGCATGTATTAGTGTTTGCCTGCATGTATGTATGTCCACCACTTGTGTACAGTGCCCGCAGAGGCCAGAACAGGACATCAGAGGCCCTAGAGCTAGAGGTACAAATGGTTGTGAGCTGACACGTGGGGGTTAAGAACTGAACCCAGGACCTCTGGAAGAGTGACCAGTGTTCTTAACCACTGAGCCATCTCTCCAGCCCCTTGTGGAGTTATTTTGACAGTAGTGATGTCTTTAGGAGGTGGAGCCTGGCTGGCAGAAGTAGGTCACTGGGGGACAGTAAAGAGTGTATCCACCCCTGGTCCCAGTCTGTATTCTGCCTTCTGCTTGCTGTCCTCCACTGTAAAGCCATGTGGACTTCACGCCATATCCTGTCCACCATGAACTTCATACACTCTCCCTGCTGCTTCTGAAACCAGGAGCCAAAGCAAACCCTTCCTTCCTCAGTCACTCCTGTCATGTGACATAGTCACTAACTGTTAATGGCACACTCGGCTCTTTGGTTCCTGACTATGGCTTTGGGTCATGGAAACCTAGCCCCATCCATGAAGCTCTGAGTCCCTACTTTCTCGCTATACCAGCCCTGCAGTGAGTTCTGCATATTGTGGTTTTGGCCATCACAATCTAACTTTCTACCCAGCCAACGGGAGGCTCTGGGGCATGGCAGAGTGGGGCGAGGTGTCAAAGTGAGGAGAAAGAAAATTTTAATTGTGACCCGCACAGGAGAGGTGGATGAGTCAGGAAGCAAACTCTCATTGCCATTGAACATAAGCACAGGAGCTGGGTAGCCACAGGAACACGATGTAGCATGGCAGGCACACGTATGAACATGTACAACCACAGGCGTGCCTTCATGCGAGACGAGGAACTGAAGGATGGGGAGGTTTGGAGGATTTGTTTCAAAACTTAGTATTTGAACAGCTTTTCTCTAAAACTGCCTCAGTCTGCACACTTGCTGGTAATTGTTGGGCAACCTCAGGGGGACCCAGGGTTCTGCTGTTCTCTTGGGAAGCCCCCTGGACAGTTTGACTGCTGTGTTCAGAATGGTGCCTGCTCCTCTGGCTGTGATGAAATTTGTCGTCTTTCCCCCCCCTCCCCCCCCCACCAACCCCAGCCCATGGGCTGCTCTCAGGGACAGGAAATCTGCTCCACTCTGCCTGGGTGTAATTAAACTTTGGGTTGAAGTCTTACCCCAGGGCACTACTGGCAAATTCAATAATGATGAATTAAGTGGGGGTATTTACAGCATTGATGCGAACAGGATTTAAAATAATGTGTACAGTTCACTTAATTACATTCCTTGTGACTCCACACCCACTCTGAAAATGTCATTCTGCCACCCGGTCTAATTGCAGCAGCCCTGCCATTTCTTTCTCGGCCTGTGCTTTCCATTTCTGGCTCTCTCCGTGTCTAACTCTAGATCTGTTTGCTCAGTCGGGGTGTCACTTGTGGGGCTCCCCCCTCCAGTTCATTCCACCTGTGGCCATTACACTATTCCTTAGCTTTGCTTGTGGAATGGATTCCCTTTGCCCCTGTTTTCAGGGGAAAGAACCAGTGACTGGCTCCTGAACGCCCCGTGCTTTGTTCCTTTTGCTTGATCCAAAGTCTCGTTGAGGCCTCTGGCTATACTGTCTCCCCTGAGTGAGGGTCAAGGACCAGCTGGCTAGCAGGACTAATGTAGGCAGTGCCCACATACCACCACGCCCTCCTTCCCATCAGCACACTCCTATAAGTTATCCCCAGTCGTTTCCCAGGATTTGGAAGGTGAACATAGGTTTTCTGCCTGTTCTGATTACTCCAGGCTTCTACCAAACAAGAGTTTGTTGAAGTTGGATTACCAAGCGATGGGCCTTTCTTTCCCTTCCTCTGCCTAGAATTCCTGCACAGTCTTGAAAGTGGATCTCACTGGTCATTGTCCCTTGGCGATCATCCTGTCTGAGGATGTATTGTGAGTGGGCGCTGCTTGTCTGGGTTGGGGAAGGAGAAGGAGGGTCAGCCTTGCATCTAGCAGGGAAGAGGGCAGACTCTGGGGTCTCTCAGTTTGCTTTGGAGCCACATCAGGGAAACTGCCCTCAGATGCTTGGTCCCCTGAGCAATTGTGTAAGCAGTTATCATAAGCCTTCTACTGTCTCGGTATGGCAGTGGCTCTCAGCCTGTGGGTTAGGTGGCCCATTCATAGGTCAGAGCATCAGAAAACACAGATGCTTACATTACAGTTCATAGCAGTAACAAAATTATAGTTATGAAGTAGCAGCAAGAATAATTTTATGCTTGGGGTCAGCACAATATGAACTTTCTTAAAGGGTCACAGCATTAGGAAGGTTGAGAACCATGGTTCTATCGATCACAGTTGCTAGGAATCCTCATCAAGGAGTGGGGACTGGGCTTGAGAAAGAAAGAAATACAATTCGGCTAGCTGTGGGAAGACAGGATTAGAAGGACACTGGGCCGGCTCAGCCTCACGGCACACTGGGACGCCGTGTGTTTATTCCCCCCACGCATTTCCACCAAGGTCCCGATTTCTGCCTTCCGTCAGCTGACTCTGCGCTGTGACCTCCCTTAGCCTCTCTGTCCCACCAGCAGCTGAGGCACTGGAGTTGCTCCTCTTTCAGTCAAGCTGAGAATCCGGCCATTACCTGTTCACTGCCTCCAGCCCTCTCTGGGAAGCAGAGAGGAGCACAATGGTAGCCCAGGCTTACCCATCCATTCAGAAGGCATGCTTCAGAGGATACCGGTGGCATGTGGGTGGAACACCCCCTAAAGGCTTATAAACCCAGAAATGTGGGTGTCAGATGGCAGTTCCTTTCAGCTCCAGGATTCTGTGGGTTGGGTTGGGATCCCCTGCCTGCATGGGGATAGAGAAGGAAGGCCACCATTAGCCATGTACTTTTGTTTAGGAAAGTCATCTCTTCTCCGTATTCTCGCCAAAGGACCTTGTGTGAGCAAGTGAGTGAGCTTTCTCCCACACCAAGCAGCTTTTCAGTCCTTATCAGGCACTGTTAAGTTCCCTACAGTTCAGCTCAACTCTATCAGCATCTACCTGGAGAAAGTGTCTTGTTCCTCAGGTGAAAGGCTCACTCCCACAAGCCTGACTCAGCTCAAGGTACTGGCTCTAAGTCCCGGTCGCTATCTGGGCTTCAGACCAATGGGGAAGATTCCTCCAAGCCCCTCCTCAAATTTTCTCATTGGCTAGAGTGGCTCACAGGACTCTGGGAAGGAAACTTAGTGGGTTGTCAGTTCCTTACAGAAAGCTCTGATCATGCCCTGGAGATGTGGAGGCCAGGTGTGGGGAAAGAACTCCACAGTGTGCCCAGCACCCTAAGCTCTCTGAACCCAATCCTCCTGGCTTGTTATTTTGCTTTCTTATGAGAGCATGCTTGTCATATCATTGGCTGTGAGACATAAATCCAGGCCTCAGCCCTTTCCGCTCTCCGGAAGTTAAGTCAGTATGTTGGGGTCCCAAGCTGTCTACTCACACAACCAGCTCCCAGGCTCTAGGGGTCCATTGCAAGAGCTGCATTCTAAAGGGGTATCATGACTCGACTTTCTCTCTCAACACAGGAAATTCGCAGGGGCCCAAGGAGCCCTAGGACCACAGTGAAGACCGAAATATATTTTCCTTTCTACGTCACAGTGCCAGTCTTCTCCACCTGCAGGTCTCTGGGTGATGGATAACATCATCCCTGCACCCCCGGGAGGAAGGCATTGGCGAGGATGTTTGGAGATAATTAGATGAAGACTAACAATGTAGGCTCATTAGCAGGCAAACTTTTTCAAATTACGAGATAAGTGAGCCTGTAAAACGCTGCCTCTGGCAAATCAGGAGCAGTGTTATCTTCGAAGGCTCTTGCCAGGCAGCCAAAAATCTGTGGGAGAGTGTGGCCAGGAGAGGCAGAGGGCTGTCAACATCCAGAGAACATTGGGGGCCATGAGGGACCAGCTCTCTAGCTTTGGCCTTGAGCCAGGCAGGAAAATGGATGAGCAGTCTTTTGAGGTTCGACCCAGCACACTCTGCACATGAATAGATAGATGGCTTGCATGTATACCATTTTCAGAGGCAAAGCCAGCATGCTTCCTGACCCCTGGCAGCTGTCGGGAGACCATCCAGGTGTTAAAGAGAGTCTGGGTAGAGATTGTCATCCACTTGGAGGAGACCATGTTCCTGAAAGACAGGATGTTCTCAGTCAGGTCCTCAGGAAGTCTGCCGTCCATTGACTCACCTAAAGCATTGGCTGAAACTGCAATATGATTGTTTTCCTGCTGCAAGCCTCTTTATTGAGCAGGAAGTTGTAAGAAATTCTACAGGATGTATATGTGTATGTATGTATGAATAATATGTGTAGTCAGCGACCACACTGAATGCTGTGTTTTGAGTGGGAAAATATTGGAAAAGGTATATGTCCTCGTATAATTATTATGTTTTTTTTTCTAGAGGAGCACATTAGAAGCTGTCGTAGGTGGTTAACTGTGAGAGAAATATTCAGGGCTGGGAGAGAGACTGCTGTTTTCCCCTTCTGCCCTTGGTTCTGTTTGAGTTTCTAAGTGCCACGGTCCCCTCCCTGCCGTCAGATGTTGCAGGAATAATCTGAGCAGTGGGATTACAAATCACTTTCTTTTCTTTGTCTCTTTTTGTATGAGGAAAATCATTCTTTAAAAAAAAAAAGATGTACCCGGCTCTGCTGCTAGCTGCAGGTTCTCTGAGGAAGGATCCCAGTGTTCAATGTTTGGCATGTACAGCCATGCCTCAGAAACCTAATTCCTCGTCCCAGGCATTTCCAAATGGGCATTTTGACCTAAACTGGGGCCTCTTCTGCTCTCCAGAGTTGGAGTTTTCTGGTACGTGCCTGCTCCCCGCACTGCCCACAGTCTGGGATGTGAATGGGCTCATCTGCTGCAGGGGTTACCCTTCAGAACGTGGTGGGGGGGGCTCACACTCAGAGGAATCTTGGGTTTGCTTTTTAGAGGTCAACTGGAGGAACCTCTTGACAGAACCTTGTATGCCTAGGTCAAACCTACCTGGCTAATTTCCTTCTATTAAGGGCAGCTGTGCCCCATTTCAGGCGTGAAATCTATCAGACTTATAGTTTGATACCCAGGGCTTTGTCATTGTGAACAGGAGGAGGCTGGGAGAGGCTGGGGGAGGCTGGAAGAGACTAGAGGAGGCTGGTGCTCTCTTTAGAATTAGAATTTGTTTCTGTCTTACAGAGGACATTTCTACAATTTTACCACGAATCTGATATTTCCTGACGAGTATGGCTGTAGTGAGGGGCTGCGGGCAGGCCTGCTTTTCATCCTGCCCAGCTCCCGCCCGGCTAGCTCAGTCGGTAGAGCATGAGACTCTTAATCTCAGGGTCGTGGGTTCGAGCCCCACGTTGGGCGCCATATGTAACATGAGGGCCAGCTTGTTGAGGTTTCTGTCCCACCTGGTACCCCACAGCTGGCAACTCCCAACGAAAATCACACACAAGACTCCATAAGGTTATAAACTGATTGGCCCATTAGGTCAGGCTTCTTATTAGCCCTTGTAACTTATATTAACCCATTATTCTGATCTATGTTAGCCACATGGCTCCGTACCTTTCTCAGCTGGGCAAGTTACATGCTGCCTCTTCGGTGGTCTGCGCAGGAGTGGTGGAAGAGCGTCCTTCTTCCCAGAAGAAATACTTCTGTTTTCATTGCCCCACCTCTACTTCCTGTCTGGTTGACCCGCCTATATTTCCTACCTGGCCAATCAGCGTTTTATTAAAATACATGATTGACAGAATACAGACAATTCTCCCGCATCATATGGCAGATAATATTTTGATAACTAATTCCTTTGCCCAATAGTTTTGTATCTGTGTTAAGTGAATATGACCTGTATTTTTTGTTTTGTGACCTCCTCTGGTTTGAGTAGGGGGTTAGTTAAGCTAGTCTCATCTAGGACTGGGGAGTGCTACTTTTTTTTTCTTTTGTGTGTGTTTTTCTGTCTAGTCTCTGGGGTAGTTGGGGGGGTGTCAGTAATTCCTTGGCAATTTCATAGTCAATGTTAAAGGTAAAATGTAGGCACATTAATCCTGGTAAGGGGGTGAGCTTGCAGGGATTCAGGAGTCCATAGTCCTGTGGAAGGGTGTGGGGGGGGGCTTTTGTGGGTTGTATTCCAAATCAAGAGAAAGGAAATACTTAATTGGTTAGAATGGAAAGCCCCTAGTTCAGGTTGCCTGGCAATTTCTGATTGGTTGAGCTTATATTGATTTGGATATGGTTTGCGTACATGGAAACACCAGAATTCATGCATCGTTGACTTGGTGATGTACACAATCTGTACCCCCTTTCTCATCCCTCACAATCAGATGTGGGGCCACAGGTGCTGACTCTTGGTGCTCCTCTTCCCTCCCATCTTAATATTTTCCCATTTCCATCACCCCTCTTTGACCACCGCCCAGGTAGTCCCTGGAACTGCCCTTTCCCGCCCAGAGGCAGCTCCTGTGTCACCCCACATCACCCCCAACACCGTCTGTCCCCACGGCTTCGCATCTTTCACTTCTTTGGACTCACGCTCTGTTGAAAAGGCAAACAGCTTGTCTTTGTCTCTTTCCCTATGACTGCATCACTTAGGACTTGGACACGATGCTTATTCTTGTCTCAAAATGTCTGTATTTTGATTCTTTTTTTTTTTTAGTTTTAGTTCATTGGATATAATTTTTTTTGTAATTTTATTAAATTATAAAAGTTTCCATTTCCGCCCCTCCTCTCACCACCCTCCCACTCCCCCCACTCCCTCTCCTCCTCCCTCTCCATCCCTAAGAGCAGTCAGGGTTTCCTGCCCAGTGGGAAGTTCAAGTTCCTCCCGCCTCCCTCCAGGTCCAGGAAGGTGAGTGTCCAGACGGACTAGATCCGCAAAATCCAGTATATGCAGAGGAAACAAGTCCCAGTGCCATTGTCAATGGCTTTTCAGAAAGACTCCGGCCAGCCACATTCAGAGAATCTGGTTGGATTGCGTCCTCGTTCAGTCCCAGTCCAACTGGCCTTGGTAAATTCTCATTAGATCCGTCCCCTTGTATCAGTGGGTGATCACATCCCTCGCAGTCCTTATTTCCTTTTTCATTTTCTTCCTCCTTCTACTCCTCATTTGGACCATGGGGGGCTCAGTCCGGTGCTCAATGTGGGTCTCCATCTGTATCGCCATCCATCGTGGGATGAAGGTTCTCTCTGATCTTGCCTTCTTTGCTCACGTTCTCTTTCCTTCTGCTTCTCGTTTGGACCTAGGGAGTTAAGTCCAGTGTTCCGATGTGGGTCTCTGTCTCTATCTCCATCCATCGCCAGATGAAGGTTCTATGGTGATAAGCAAAATATTCATCAGTATGGGCCTAGGCCATTTCAGGCACTCTCTCTTCTGTCCAGAGAACAATCTGGGATTTCCTTGGACCTGTGATCCCATTTATAATCAAGTCTCCTGTAAACCCTAAGATGACTCCCTTAGTTGAAATATATTCTTCCCTGATCTCATATCCATCCTTCCTCTCTCCCCCCATCCCAGTCCACCTAGATTTCCCCATTCCTCCCCTACTCCCTTCTCTCTAACCCTCTCCCCTTCCAACAACCATCCCACCCCCCCATGCACCCAAGATTACCTGGCACTCTTGTCTATTTCCAATCTCCAGGCAGATAGCTACATGATTTTCATCAGGTTCACCTTCTTATTTAGCTTCTCTAGGATCACGAATAATAGGCTCAAAGACTTTTAATTATGGTTAGAATCCACATATGAGTGAATACATACCATATTCCTCTTTTTGGGTCTGGGTTACCTCACTCAGTAAAGCGTTTTCTATTTCCATCCACTTGCATGCAAAATTCAAGATGTGATTGTTTTTTACCGCTGAGTAGAACTCTAATGTGTATATGTTCCACACCTTTATTAACCATCCTTCTATTGAGGGGCACCTAGGTTGTTTCCAGGTTCTGACTATTACAAATAGTGCTGCTATGAACATAGTTGAAGAAAGAAATTGAGGAGGATACCAGAAAATGGAAAGACCTCCCCTGTTCTTGGATTGGGAGAATCAACATAGTAAAAATGGCAATTCTACCAAAAGCAATCTATAGATTCAATGCAATTCCCATCAAAATTCCATCAAACTTCTTCACAGACCTTGAGAGAACAATAATCAAGTTTATATGGAAAAACAAAAAACCCAGGATAGCCAAAACAATCTTATACAATAAAGTAACTTCTGGAGGCATTACCATCCCCGACTTCAAACTCTATTACAGAGCAACAGTATTGAAAATAGCTTGGTATTGGCATAACAACAGAGAAGTCGACCTATGGAATCGAATAGAAGACCCGGGTATTAACCCACAAACGTATGAACACCTGATATTTGACAAGGGAGCTAAAGGCATACAATGGAAGAAGGAAAGCATCTTTAACAAATGGTGCTGGCATAACTGGATGTCAACCTGTAGAAGAATGAAAATAGATCCATATCTATCACCATGCACAAAACTCAGGTCCAAATGGATTAAAGACATCAACATTAATCTGACCACTTTGAACCTGATAGAAGAGAAAGTGGGAAGTAGTCTACAAGATATAGGCACAGGAGACCAGTTCCTAAGCAGAACCCCAGGAGCGCAGAAAATAAGAGAAGCAATGAATAAATGGGACCTACTGAAACTGAGAAGCTTCTGTAAAGCAAAGGACACTGTCAGTAAGACCAAAAGGCTACCTTCTGACTGGGAGAAGATCTTCACAAATCCCTCATCAGACAAAGGTCTGATCTCCAAAATATACAAAGAACTCAAGAAACTAGACACTAAAACTCTAATTAACCCAATTAAAAAATGGGGTACTGAACTGAACAGAGAATTCACAACAGATGAACTCCGAATGGCCAAAAGGCACTTAAGGTCATGCTCAGCCTCCTTAGCGATCAGGGAAATGCAAATCAAAACAACTTTGAGATATCATCTTACACCTGTCAGAATAGCCAAACTCAAAAACACCAACGATAGCCTATGCTGGAGAGGATGTGGAATGAGGGGAACACTCATCCATTGTTGGTGGGAATGCAAACTTGTGCAGCCACTGTGGAAATCAGTGTGGCGGTTTCTCAGGAAACTGGGAGTCAACCTCCCTCAGGACCCAGCAATTCCACTCTTGGGAATATACCCAAGAGATGCCCTATCATACTATAAAAGCATCTGTATTTTGATTCTTGAAAGGTAAGGATGTGTAAGCTGCCTTCACACTTCTAGGCTGAGAAAGGTTTTCCTTGGTACTTCATTCTCCGTTTAGACTGCTGCCCATCACCCGGAGAATTGCGTTAGCTGTGTGCTCTCTGCCGGTCGTACACAAGCACGTGTGCCAGACTCTTCTCTTTTTTCTCTTCCTTTCTCATTTAATTTTAAATATAACTTTCAGTCATCTTTTGGGGGCATCTGTTTTAGTATGAAGTCTGTATAAGTCTGTGCGTGCACAGGTGTGTACCGGTTTGAAATAACTATTTTTGAAAACTGTTTAGCAAAGCAAATATCTCTTTAAATCTGCCCCTTTCTTATGTTCATTTCCTTCCCCTAGCGCCCTTACTGGGGCACAGTGTGTCCTTATTATCTCCCCCGTGTCTGTCCTTCTTGTTAACGATGTTCATCCGAGGATCTCTGCCTTGCTGATCCCTGCCTTACCTCACCCTCTAGGCCTCAAGCTGCCACCCTAGTTATGAAGTCTGTTGAACTAATTGAAATGCCTGTAGGTTTTGACTTTGAGGTCTAGTGGGTTCTTCTTGACGTATCCGTTCTCAGCGTGCAATACTCAGTCCTTAGAGTGTTCATTTCATCTCTCGGATCTTTAATCAGGTAAGACACACTGTATATTACATTTTAAATGGCAAGTCTATCACAGAGAGGTCGCATCTCTCTGTTTGCCTCATCCACCCCAACCCCTTCCATAGAGCATCCCTTCCCGCAGGCAGAGCTCCAGGGCCCTTGTTACGGGAACATTCTCCTAGAGAATGCTAGAGTTGGGCTAAACTCAACCAGCAAGGCAAGTGGAAGATCAGCCTGCAGGATGTGTGAAATGCAGGGATTTTTCTTTTCGGAACAAAACTTTTCTTTTCTTTTGTGCGAGTACTTGCGTGCGTACATGTAGACAGAAGTCAGCACTGGGTGTCTCCCTCCATCATTGATCTGTCTTATTTTTGTGAAATAGCATTTTTCACTGAAGCCGGAGCACCCTGTTCAGCCGGATGCCCAGCCAGCGCCATGAGTCTTCCCCAGATCTGGGATTACAGGTTTCGTCACACTACCATAAGCTTTTCTCCACGGGTGCTGGGGTGACACTCAGATCCTCACATTTGTGCAGCAAATCATTTACTGACTGAGTTGTTTCCCCAAGCATCAGTGGTTTATGTGCTGAGGTTTCCCTGGACGTGCACCGTCTCGGGAAAGCTACCCATTCAGTGCGAGTCCTGAGCTTTCCCACACCGGTGGTCCAAGCCTAGACTAAAGCACTGGAGTTGGTGCCCTGCCTGTGACTTGCGGGAGGCCGGAGTCTGCATTTTACCACAATCCCCGTGATTCTCAGCCCTGATCAAGCGAAACAATGTTTATCCTGGATGGCTGAGCGGTGTGGGAGAATTGTCTGTATTCTGTCAATCATGTATTTTAATAAAACGCTGATTGGCCAGGCAGGAAGTATAGGTGGGTCAACCAGACAGGAAGTGGAGTCAGGGCAATGAGAATAGGAGAAGGCTAGGGAGGAGGAAACTTCCTTAGCCACTCCTGCACAGACCACCGAAGAGGCAACATGTAAGCTGTCACACTGAGAAAGGTACTGAGCCCATGTGGCTAACATAGATAAGGATAATGGATTAACATAAGTTATAAGAGCTAATAAGAAGCCTGACCTAATGCACCAATCAGCTTTATAACTTATAAAGATCTCTGTGTGATTGATTTTCTTTGGAACTTGCTGGTTGTGGGGTACCGAGCGGGACAGAAACCCCAACAAGCCGGCCCCCTCATGTTACAAATGGCGCCCTAATAAGAAGCCTGACCTAATGGGCCAATCAGTTTATAACCTTATGGAGTCCTGTGTGTGATTTTTCCTTGGGACTTGCCGGTTGTGGGGTACTGGGCAGGAATAGATACCCCAACAAGCCGGCCTTCATGTTACAACCGAGTGTCTCCAGGGAGATGTGGAGGTGGTGACAGGAAGGCCAGTGTGTTCCCGAGGGCTTCAGCAGACAGGATCCCTTTGAAGGCTAAAGACAGCTCAGTGGTACTGTGTGTGCTTAGCATGTACACAGACAGCTCTGGGTTTAGTCCCTAGCATGTTAAAAAAAATCTTTTTTGATGGCCAGGTTGCTATTATCAGAACTGGGGGTGGACTCAGGGAGCCTTAGGTTACTTTGTGCCGGTGTGAAGTGGAGGAGGGGGCACAGTCTCTGGTTCACTGAAGGTCTTTGGAGGTGTTTTTCTGGAGCAAAGGGGAGAGGGCAGTATATTTTATAGCTATTTAGTGACATGCAGGGGAAGAGAAAGAGGCCAAGAGAAAATCTAATCGGGCATCAACTTCCTTGGGGTTTGTATTCCAACATTGCCCAGATTTCAATTAAGCAAAGCACCTCTTCCCCATCCCCAGTTGATCATGGGTTGCCATGGCAGCAAGCACACTGTGCAGTTAGTCCACCCCACTCCCACTACCTACCTCTGGCAATGCATAGTCTATGAGTTCTTGGTTTCTCAGTAGACACAGGGTCCTGGTGGCTCTGCGGGCAGATACCAACAGGAGGTCAGGGCTGGCAATTCTGGAGGTACCTTGGCGCTGTGCCTTCCGGAAATATGTCAGGCTACCCTGTCTGACAAAACATGGCATTCCTGCTTGCCTGTATTGGAATGATTCAGGAACTCATAAAGAGACACCACAGGCCATCCTGCAGGCAGCACACATTTGTACACACATGTCCAGGATGTGAGTTCGTGGGCTTCCCTTGGGTCCTCCTAAGGACAAAGATTCTCAAAGTGGGTTCCAGGGTCTTACTGTATTGACCCTTGTTTCCGTCCAGGTGCCCGGCTGTAAATAGCGAGGTTGTAGAATCTATCATCGTGTGTGTGTGTGTGTGTGTGTGTGTGTGTGTGTGTGTGTGTGTATGAGATAGGGGGAGAGATGGAGGAAGATTATATATGTGTAGTTGTCTGTAACTGTCTCTCAATTTCCTGGCCTTGGAACCCTTCTTCATATGAGTATATAACCAATGCCAGTTTGAACACCACCAGGACCATCTACCCTTCCTTTGTTTCCAGGCAGATGTTTTGGAATTTTCTGAAGCCAAGAGAAGCCAGACCCTCTCTGGCCATGTGGTTCCTTTCTCTTGTGCTTTGCTGGGTGGCCTTTGCTTCCTGTTCCTGGTGTGCCCTGTCGAATGGGAAGGCTGCTTCCACTCTGCTCGGTTAGTCTACCGCTCTCCCCAGGCGTGGCCCACTCTGTAGCACTGAGGCAGCCTCTTCTGTCCCTACACCAATTTCCCTCAGTCCCTCTCGGCTGGATTCCTAATTTCTTTTATTTCTGCTCTCTCAGAACCAATTTTTTCTTTGCTCCGTTGGCTCAGAAAATATCAGGTCAGTCGAAGATATCTCTGCCTGCTAGCTCCCTTCCGAACCTGGCTTGTGTTCAGAGAGCAGAGGGCCCCAGAATCCAGGTGGCGCCCTCACCGATCTGTTGAACATCTAAACATTGTGCCTAGTTTTGGGTGTAGAGACTACATAGTTGGGACTGGAGAGATGACTGAGTAAGGGTAGTGTTGCTATTTGAGTACCTGAACTCAAATCTCAAGAACCTATGTGAAAATCTGGATACAGTCACACAGCTGTAACCCTGGTGCTACAGGGGTGAATGTGGACACAGGAGGATTGATGGGACTTGCTGGTTGCTAGCCTAGCTCCAGGCTCAGGGAGAGACCCTGTCTCAAAGGAGTAAGGTAGCGAGTGATAGAGCAGGATACCCAAGGTCCTTCTCTAGCCTCCGAGTGTGCACAGCTGTAAGCACCGTCATAGACATGTGTGCACACACAGCACATGTACAACACACACACCCCACAATGGAAAGAAAAAGCAAAAAGGGTAGAAAGCAAAGCAGCCCCAACTTCACAAAAATGAGATGTGTCCCCTTGGTTGAGTGCTTTAGTCTAAATGAGCTGGTGAGGCCCTTCCCCCCTCAGAAACGAGATTCTCTTGGCTTTTTTTTTTTTTTTTTGCCTATGTTATAGAAGAAACGGACCACAGCATGGTTTCCTTCCCACAAAAGTCCAGTGCTATTTCATGAAGTCAGTATAGTCCCAGTACAGTTTTTCAAAAATCATGTATGATGAGTTTTAGAAACTTACCAGGGAAATGGGAATTGAATGGCTTAATGAAATAATTAAGCTTATTGAATATATAGTATATGTATTATATATAGCTAATGTGCATATTTGAGTATGTGTATAACCATCTATTCATTCATCCATCCATGCATTCATATACCCACCTATCTATCCATTATCTATTTGTCCACCCATCTACTCACCCATCCATCCATCTGCTCATCTGTATATCAGTGTATCTGTCTGTCTATCTATCTATCTATCTATCTATCTATCTATCTATCTATCTATCTATCTATCATCTATCAATCATCTATCATCTATCTGTCTATCTATCTTATCTCTATCTATCTATCTATCTATCTATCTATCTATCTATCTATCTATCTATCTATCTATCTACTAACCCACAGTAGGATCATAAGCAGCCAGGCAGCATGCTTTAGGGACGCAATTAGGCTACTTTCTGCTCATCTGCCTGGCCAGAACATGTTTTTAGGAAGTGCAAACTTGTATCAGTGCTATCCAAAGTAAACTTAATTAGAAGAACAAATCTATTATTTCAGATAGCGAAAGAAAGGAAAGATAAAAGAATGTTACTTTGTATTCCAGAGTAATTCGGAGCACCTTAAAGGGCACCCTGCTCCTCCTAATTTTATTGATGGTAAATCTCTATTATCTTTAGCTGCAGGTAATCCTTTCTGAAAGTTGGAAATGTCAACACGACTGCAGAATTTTAAGGCATGTTTGCATTACAGGCAAACCATGGTTCTCTGCTAACATGGAGATTTGGGATTTAATGGTACTTGACAATTCTGTACCAAATTCAATTCTGATCCAATTTTTTTCTCCTTCACCACAGGTAGATTTCCGTTGTGAATAGATTAGGTGTGCTGGGGCACTGTTCATCTTTCTTATTGTATTTTTATAAATTCAGTCCAGGTTCATTGTAAAACCAGAGAACCAGGCTTTGTTCCCAGCCTGTTAGGCGGGGTGTGGGGTGTCCTACTCTGAACTCCTTCCAGCAGCCCTATTGCACGAGTTATATTATCCCCAAATAGCAAGTGGGGAAACTGAGACCCGGGCGGCACAGTTGATGTCCCCAGAAGCGTTTGATCAGAAGTTGGTGGGGCTCCCTTACCAATGTGGGGAGGGAGTCGAGTAACAGCTGCCTGACAGGGAAGGCATATCAGACCCTTTTGAGATGAACAGTTATTATTTGCAAAATAAAAGTTTAAAAGCCAGGCCCCGGAGGCACTCCTACCCCCCCCCCCACTTCCTTCAACACTTACCTGGGGGAAAAGAGGAAAGGTGAGAAATCAAAGTGGAGAGAGAAGAGTGTGAGGAGCCTCCTGCGGCTTCACTAGGCTTCTTGATTGGCGTCTGCTGGGAGTGCTGAAGGTCACTGGCCATGCTGGCAGTGTCAGCTGACTCTGCCTGTGCCTCTGCCCATCTGACCCACCGTTGCTTGCTTTGATGACAGTCCCCAGGAGAGGGTTTGGAAGAATTGCCACACCAGGGAATTGTGCCAAGTCATAATCAGCATGTGAACACATACATATACCCATCTGTCTGTCTATCTGTCCACCTCTCTCTTTCCATGAGTGTGAGAGACAAGGAAAGAGGGAATGTGTTTGCAGATATATATTACTTTCCATATTGTGTGTGTGTGTGTGTGTGAGAGAGAGAGAGAGGGAGAGAGAGAGACCTTAAAGATGAGAGAGGACTTCCCAGAAGCTCTTCCATTCTAGTCAAGGGAAACAGAACCCCGCCCCCACACCGAAGCTCAGAAGAATTAGGTCAGGGACGAAACTATAAACTAGGGAGCAGCCTGGAAGAGGAGCCAAGAGCTCCCCCTGGTACCTCTCAGCTCCAGTGGGCTTTTCCTGCTGAGTCTGCCCTCAACGTTCTGAAAGGACAATTTGCCTCCATTCTCTGTTCATAGAGAACACACAGGTGTGCTGTCCTCACGCGAAGGGAGACGGCCCGTCATTCTTACTGTGTTTCTCTCTTCCCTAGCATCTTGGGTGGTGTTTACCTCTGCGTGGTCTGAGATAGTCTCTGATTACATCAATAGCGTGAATATAGTGCAGGGAGGGGTGTTTAGCTGATTAGGAAAACAGACTTTTCTAGACACAAACATTTAGCTTCATGATGTGTAAATTATGTGCATCTGGGTGCTATGCTAATTGCCTCTCGGAGCCCTTGCTGATTAGCCATGAACTCACACAACCCTGGGGTGTTCATGAGCATCTTAATAGGGCTCACCTCACAGCCTGGCAGCTTCCGCCAGCCTTGGCTGCTGCTCTACCTGAAGAGCACAGGACACCCATCTGCCATGATGCCTTTGCTCCCCTCCAGCGCTTTCCATTAAACCTACAATGCTGACCCTTTGGTGGGCCTAGGCAATTCACTTGCTTAAGGATCTGGAAGGAGTTAGGATAATTCAACTAATGACCAAAAAGTAAAGAAGTGTAGTAAGATCTTTTAAAAGTCCATATCAGGAGTCAGCTATAGGTCCAATCAGAGCTGTTACCTGGTTTTGCAAATAAAGTTTTACTGAAACACAGACACACAACCCACACATTATCTGTGGATGTCTTTGTGCTACAACAGGCAGTTGAATAGTTGCAACAAAGCCAGAATGACCCTTGAGTCAAAAAGTCGGCTGACCTTTGAGTGTCCATGAAGTCAATCTTTGTGTATATGAATGTTGTTCTAGCAAAAAATAGGACATTGTACAACTACATCCTTAACCTTAAAGAAGATCAAAATGTCCCTGAAAGCAGGAGCAGAATGATCCGTGTGGGTGTGTAGATGCATTCTCAGGAAATACCCCCCCACACACACACACACTGGCTTTTGTGCTCCCTACAGCAAATATTAAAGTGCTCAAAGTGTGCCAGTCACCATGCAAGTTCTGCAGACAAATCCCGCACAGAACCAATTCTTGCCCTTCTCTCTTGGTATGTTGTGAGTGTGGAAGGTGACAGACCTTGAGACACAGCTGGCAAGTGTGGGCTTGAAAGTTGGTGAGTGTAATGACAAACCAGGCTGCAGAGAGAAGCCTGGCCTCGTACTAGTGCATGTGCACACAAACACACACACACATACACACATGCACGCACGCACACACGCACGCGCGCGCGAGCACACACACACACACACACACACACACTCATGCATGCACATAAGCGCTCACTTGCTCATCCACACATGTATTCTCTTTAATATGCCCTTCAGGCCGTGCCTGGAGAAAGGAAGGCTCCCAAAGCACTTGTCAGGGTAAGATTTATGCCACGGATGTCTCAGAACATGATGTATTGGCCCTTTTGAGTCCAAACAACATTTGGCCAGCTTGTAAGTGGCCATTTCTAATTCCCATCTAGCTAGATTTTATTGTTCTAAACAGCAACCGGAAGGGGGCTGGAAGGTAGCTGTTTGTGCCTGACTCTGAAATCATCAGGACAACGAGCACACACATGGCTTTTCTAAGAGAAGAGGAAATTAGACACGTAGTTTCGGTTTGGGGTTTGACTGCTTGAAAGTCCTCATACTGCTCCCCAGCCACTCGATGCTAAAGGAGATTCAGTTGGGAACCTCTGATGCAGGGGTACATTTATAGGTCATGCTTCAGTTCTGTAGAAAGCCACCTCGCAAAGCCCAGCAGAATAAATGGTATTGTGTTCCTATGGGCTTACACAGATCTAGTATAAAAATGCGTGTATGCAGGTGTGTGTATTCGTTCATGCATGTGTGCGTGTGTGTGTGTGTGCAAGTTTGTGTGCAGGGGTGTGTGTACATGTATGTGTGTGCATGCACGCATGTGGAGATCAGAGGTTAACCTCAGGTGTTCATGCTCTGTCCACTTTCTCTTTTGAAATGACATCTTTTCATTAGCTTAGAACTCAACGAGTAGACTCACTGGCTAATCTACATGCCCTAGGGATGGATCCTTCCAACTCTTCTTCCTCTGCAAAGGGACTGTGTATGCACAACATTATCACTATTCCCAGCTTTTTTTTTTTTTTTTTTTTTTTTTTTATAATGTGAACTCTGGGGCTTGAACTCAGGTCCTCACGGTTGCAAGGCAAGCATTTTACCAATGAAAGCCTTCCTAGCCCTAGTATATAAATTTGAAAACTTGTTCCAGTGTTTAAAAAGAAAGTCACCACTGGCTGGTAAGTGGCTTTTAGTTTTTCTTGGTGCTTATCAGTGTGTTCTGAACTCTCTCTAGTTTAGGGATGTATAATATTATCCAGTGACATTTTAGCCTGGTGCGCTGCAGTTTGTTTGTACTGCTACTGCGTGGGCCACTGAGGCAAGATGTCCCCTCGGCTCAGGAGCGCAGGCTTTCTCTCAGGCTCTCAGAGAGTCTCATAGACTGGAGAGCGTGGTTAGTGTTGGCCTGGGATACCATGGAGCTCTCACTCAGGAGACTGAGAGATCATTTGGACAGCAGGGTCAGAGGCTGGTGGTGTCTGGAACAGGCATGTTCTTGCCATGCCAGAAGGCATCCTGGGGTCCACCTGCATAGGCTCCTTCCTAGCCAGAAGCAACTGAGACCTTTCGAGGTCCCACCCTCCTTTCAGTGATACCTACATCAGCCTGGAGGTAGAATTGGCTGGAGAAACCCAAGCCCCAGGATGCATTCATTCATTCATTCATTCATTCATTCATTTTTTATCTTTAAGAAGGGGAGGAAGGTCTTGGGTGAGTTTCATGGGAATGAGCGTTGGGAGAGACTAAGGATGTCAAGGAGGCATCCCTGTTGTGCTGGGTAATTTGATGTCAACTTGACATAAGCTGGAGTTAACTGAAAGGAGGGAACCTCAATCAAGAAAATACCTCTGTAAGATCTGACTGTGGGGTATTTTCTTATTTAGCCATTGATGGGGGAAGCCACAACCCATGGTGGGTGGTGCCATCCTTGGGCTGGTGGTCCTGGCTTCTGTAAGAAAGCAGACTGAGCAAGCCATGGAGAGCAAGCCCGTAAGCAGCACCCCTCCATGACCTCTGCATCAGCTCCCGCCTCCAGGTTCCTGCCCTGACTTTCCCAGTGGTGGGCCATTACCTGGAAATAAGCTGAACCAAACCCTTTCCTCCCCAAGTTTCCCTAGTTTCATTTTGACTGTGGGCCCCAGGATGGGGTTAACTCCTGGTCGGAGGAACTGCCTGCATTCATGGACATTGTCATGAGATGGCAGACTTATAGGAGAGATATGGGAGGGAAAAAAATGGAGGTGTGGTTTTGATCGATAGACCCAGGGCTAGTGAAGGCATGCCTTCTCATTTCGGGAAATGTATTTTTCTCAATCTGTCTGCCATGGCTGTATTTTCTATTACGTTTCCCATGTGCTGTGAAAGCAAAAATGCTCTCAGAAGGGCTTTTAGCTGAGGCCAGGAAATGATTGTTCCTGTCAAGGAATCTTATTTTACCTCCCAGTCTTAAAAAACACAAAGCAAAACAAGAACTCTTTCTGAAATTTAAAAAAAAATGCATATGTGCATGTGTGTGCAGGCAACCACGGAAGCCAGAGGGGAGCTGGAGTTACAGGTGCTTATGAGCTGCCCCATGTGGGTACTGAAACCCTTGCCTTCTAATCTCAGGTTCTGTTGACTGAGGTTTCTGTCCTGCCTGGTTTCTCCAGCTGTTAAGTCCCAAAGAAATCTCACAGAGGTCTACATTAATTATAAACTGATTGGCCTTGTATCTCAGGCTTCTTATTAACTGTTATAACTTATATTAGCCCATAATTCTTGTCTGTGTTAGCCATGTGGCTTGGTACCTTTTTCAGCGAGACAGTCACATCTTGCTTGCTCTGTGTCTAGCTTCCTCTCTGTCTGGGTGACGAATGCAGACTGAAACTTCGCTCTTCCCAGAATTCTCGTTGCCCTGCCTCTATTTGCTGCCTGGTCGCCCTGCCTATACGTCCTGCCTGGCTACTGGCCAATCAGCATTTATTTGAAATACAAGTGACAGGGTGTAGACCATTGTCCCACAGTAAAGTTCCTTTCCTCTCCCCTTCCCCTGTGCACTGAGAAAGAATCTCTTGTATATTCATGGTGGCTGGATGCAGGGAAGGGCCTGGCATAGGCCTGTCCAGTGCTCAATGGGCTCCAAGAGTGGGACAATGGGAAGAAATGTCCACGCACTCCAGACAGAGAACTAATGACAGACCCAAGGGATGAGGGTGTTCAAGTCCAGAGCTTGATGCCTGGGGTGAAATTAAATGAATCTAGGAGTGAGGCATAGGGGGAGTGGCTGAACTCTTAAGGGAGGGTCTGTTGACCCTGCCACCTCTTCTTCCATGAGGGAGCATCAGCAGCCCTGATTTCTGATCTGCCAGAGGGCCTGTACCTTCCTAAGCATCTCTTATGGGTAGTCACAG